GTACAAAGAACCAATAAGACTAATGGGCTGATATTCATTCAAGCTTGATGGGCTATCCACTTTGGGAATTAGAGCAATGAACGAACTATTTAAACCACCAACCAGAGTGGTATTCTGATGGAACTCACTAAAGAATTGCATTATCTCAGACTTAACTATTCCCCAGCATTTCTTAAAAAAGGCCAAATTAAACCCATCAGGCCCAAGTGCTTTGTTTCCTTCACAGCTCTTAATCACATGACTAACTTCCTCCTCTGTAAACTCTGCTTCCAACAAATTCACTGCTGGACTATCTCCAATATGATTGAACTGACCAACCAGTTTAGGCCTAACAGCCCAATTTTCAGAGAAGTGGTTCATGAAATGCTTCTTTACCTCAAGTCTAACCTCCAAAGATTCCTTAACCATTGAGCCATTCACCAGAACAGAACACAAAGAATTCCTACTGTTTCTATTGCACGCCATAATGTGAAAATACCTGGTATTCCTATCCCGTAGTGTGGTCCAACTAACTCTTGACTTTCGTAACCAGATACGTTTCAACATTTTGTTTAACCTCCAGATTTCACCTATTAGTTCCTTTCTTCTAGATTGTTCAATTCCCAACAATGGTCTATCTTCTGCAATTAATTCAATTGCATGAGCTTCCTCTTTAGCATTCTTAAGCTTAGTTTCAACTTTTCTAAACACTTCAGTGTTCCACAGTTTTAATTTTTGTTTCAAAGCTTTAAACTTCATGAGACATCTATAGCCAGCCCATCATTCCACATGAGCATCTGACCAGGATTGCTCCACAAAAGATACGAAGCTAGGGTGGAGAGCCCAAACATTCAGAAACCTAAACGGTCTAAGGCCCCAATCACGATCATCCTCCATCAATATTATAGGACAATGATCAGATAACAGCCTAGGTAGTCCCCATACCCTGAGATTGAAGTTTTGAAGCCACTCATGATTAAGTAGAAGTTTGTCTATCCTACTCCATTTCTCCATTGTTTGTGAGTTGCACCAGGTAAATTTCCTCCCCAGCATTGGTAAGTTAATCATCTCTAGTTGTTCTACCATAAAATTAAAATCCCTCATTCCTCGGTCTCTTCTACAACACCCAATCCGTTCATCAGTGTTCCTTATTTCATTGAAATCACCCCCCATGCACCATGGCCCCAAGAAATGATGCTTCAACAGAGCAAAATTTGCCCAAACTTCTTGCCTTTTGACCACACCCGTAGGACCATACACATTTGCAACCACACAGCTAAAAGAGGAAAAGATAGTACCTAACATGAGAATGAAATTTCGGTTGCCACAGCAAGCATTTACTTGAAACACCTTTGGATTCCATACACATAGTAGTCCACCAGCTCTGCCTTCCGCATCCACTGCCATATACTCAAATTGATCTTCATACCAGATAGATTTTACTATTTCAGTGGTGATTGTAGATCTCTTTGTTTCTTAAATCATCACTAAACTAATTTTCCTTTCCGCCAAACTTCTTTTGATTCTTCTCCTTTTCTCAGGTCTTCCAAGGCCTCTAACATTCCAAGATTGTATCTTCATTACACAGATTTTACACTTAAACTCCCTAAGCCTTACAACTCAATTCTCTTCACCTCTCATTCTCACCCCTTTTCCTTTGTCTGCAGCCTCCAATTCCTCTAGCTTGCTAATCACCTCCTCCTCCTTGCCATCACAATCGACCCCCAACACTTTTTCAATTTGAAGAGATTCCACTGCTTCAGAATTTTTTGGCTTTTACTTACCATTCCTTTCTCCTTTAGTTTATTTTTACGTATATGGGCTGAGTTCACCCTGTTATACATTACACTAGGCTGCTTCAACCTTTTAACAGAATTAGAAGGAATGCTATTAACAACCCAATTGCTTGGTTCTGCAACCCTTTGGGCCGATCCCTCCTTACTTGTTCCTAATTGGGCCCTATTTAAATCCACCTCTATGCTAATTCCTTGTTGAGGTCCAACAGACCCACTCAGACTTTTTATAAAACCAAGGATGTAAATCTCATCATCACCTCTCCAGCTACCCTCATTGCGTACGCCACCCACCTCTGACTCCCCTTGACGTAGCTTCCTTATAAAGTCTTCCTCTCATGCGGCGCCTATCTCTGACCCTCGCATCATCATTTCTGACTCATCCACCACTGATAGTTCCTTCAGTCGAGCTTCCTCCTCCATGCCATTTGGGACATGTTCAGTCACCCTATCCCCTGTAGCCACTTCACACCCTTTATCCACCTCAGCTCTCACATGTACTTCCACGTCATCATCTTCTTTCTCCTGCCTACTGCCTCTATCTGCAATAGTCTTTTCTTCTTCATCAGAGCTATAGCTTTCCTCATTATTCCTCATAAAGGATTGGCAGATGCACCTTTCTTGCACTACTTTTGAAATTATAATTTGTTCCTCACAAATCCTAACAGGGTAGATTACCCCTTGGCACTCCAATTTAATTGTATGATTAATGATGTCCATACATCTTGTCTCTATCTTAACTTTCCCACAATGGAAAGATGACAAATTAGTCGTGTCCTCATCCGTTTCAAGAACTTCACCCCACTTTCTACCTATACTACAGAAAGTGCTGTTGTTTCACAAGATCAGTGGCACACCATAACAACTTAGCCACACCTGCCTCACATAATCAAACGCCATTCCTTCTTCCTAGTCCTCAACTAATTCGCACCAGTCTGTAAGCCATTCCTTCATTAGCAATAGCTTCTCCCACTTAGCTTCTATTAACTGAAAGGAAATAACTAATTGCCTTCCACCTTCTATTCTAATTGTGACATCGCCATATCCACGTTTGTGTAATTCATCCTTTAGATCTTCAGCCGCCAGATTGGGTTTCAATCTTGCTACAGCACTCCCATACAACCAGCTATTCCCTCCCCTCTGAACCTTAATAGTACGAATTGAACTAGATTGAAACACCCTACCTCGGACCACATTGGCATACGACTTACTCCCGTGGTACCTAACGTTCTCAGATTGGTGACCTTCCTTGTCCTTCCACTGCTGTACTGGACGAATCTTCTTTTGCCTGTGACCATATTCCTTCCTAAACTCAGCCCTTTTGACTTTTAGTGCTTTGTCATCACACCAAAGTCCATGTGCTTTTTGCAGAGCCATATCCACTGCTACCGAACAATCATACCTTATAAATCCAAATCTAGAGCCTCTAGATCTTCTTCTCTTATTTGGAATGTACGCATCCAGCACGACTCCGTAGTTGGAGATCTTATACAACCCATTTGCCCTCATAGATGCTGGTATGTTGTCTACAAACACAGAGTAGATGTTTTTCTCCCTTTGGGGCCCACCGCCTCGACCGCCATGTCTCCGCACCGCCAGTTGCCATCCTCAAATTCCAAGCTTGCTAGATTGCCCCTCGTACTCGGTACTCGATCTCCATGGATGCCCTATTACTCTCTTTTTTGGATGCTTAACAAAATAAAAAAATGCATTTATTTTGTTGCTAACATGTAATATCTTTTGTAAAGAAGACTCTAATGAATGAAAATATAATGTTTCTTCCATGTTTATGGTTTACATGTATGGTTGTCTTGTACTAGATTTGAGGGCGTTACATGTCGCAATAATAGTCATTAAAAGGTAGTCCCGAAAAGTTAAAAAATGAGTTTTAGGAAAAAAAAATTTCAATATGCTACTCATAAATTCACTTTTACAGACAAAATAAAGTTGGTTCCAAAAGTATTTACTTGTAAGACAAACTTCTAGTCTCAAAAGGTTAATAATTTGTTACTAAATATTCAATTTTATCACTAAAAATTAAATAATAACACTTATAGCGATAAAAATATTTAATACTTCAAAAAATAAATTTATTCTTAAATTTTTGTTTTTAAAGTCTTGAATTCTTGTAAATTGTAATGGTGGGTGACAAAAGTCAGTACTGCTAATTTTCTATTACAATTCGTTGTTGATCGGACAATACTACCTGCGGGACCATTGAAGAGGACAATATAAACCAAAGGAAATTTTTAATTCGTCCCGTACAAAAGAGGCTCTCACATTGTATAACCTAATGGTAAATTCTTTCCCACTTCAAGAAATTTTACCCACTTTATTTTAATTTTTTTGAATTAAAATCTCCTATCTAGATTGGAGAGGGCGAGGTTTCAAGCATTTCCCTCTCTATCATTTTTTCTTTAATCTTTTTTTATTACTCATCACCATGTTAATCGTTTGCACTCCTTCCATCTCCATCATTAGATTGTTACTAAGAAGATTTTCATATCTAAACTGAATTATAGGTGAATCAATTGTTTTAAAAAAAATGCCAATATTACGAAATTGATATCTAAATAATGAAACTTGTTCGAAATCCATTATAGGCCATGGCAAAACAATGAGTATTGATTTCCACGCCATTTTTCATATCTTGACCAAATTTTATGCCATTTCAAGAAATGCCATTTTGCATTTACCGGTCCTTTGCACCTTTATCATGAGTTCTAGAAACCCTATTACCAAACAATCTGTATCATATTGAGATTCAAAAAAAAAAAAAAAAAAAAAAAAAAAAAAAAAAAAAAAAAAAAAAAAAGGGGAAAAGATAAAATAATAATAATAATAATAAATACAAAAATAAAAATGTAAATGTGTGATGTGTGTTGAAAAGAGAGTAAAAGTGAGAATGAAAGGCCGCTCTCTTCTAACCCAATAAATAAATAAATAAATGAGAATGAAAGGAAGTGGGGGGAAAGTGTAAGAGAAAGAAGAGATGTTGCTATTTAATAATTTAAGAGAAAGGAAATGGGGCATGAGGGAAAAATTAATAATTTAGGTATTATTTGGTATAAATTAAATAAGCTTATTTATTTAAATCATATCACTTTTTTATTTTTTTGTATATCTTTTTATTAAAAGTAAAAAAATATACTTATTTGGATCATCTCAAATAACTCTGATCATCTCAAATAACTCCTTAATGAGAACGTTGCTATTTAAGTATAAAAACTAGATATATTTTTTTAAAGGTTTGACATCTCTTAAGTTATTCTGATGGAACTCACTAAAGAATTGCATTATCTCAGACTTAACTATTCCCCAGCATTTCTTAAAAAAGGCCAAATTAAACCCATCAGGCCCAAGTGCTTTGTTTCCTTCACAGCTCTTAATCACATGACTAACTTCCTCCTCTGTAAACTCTGCTTCCAACAAATTCACTGCTGGACTATCTCCAATATGATTGAACTGACCAACCAGTTTAGGCCTAACAGCCCAATTTTCAGAGAAGTGGTTCATGAAATGCTTCTTTACCTCAAGTCTAACCTCCAAAGGTTCCTTAACCATTGAGCCATTCACCAGAACAGAACACAAAGAATTCCTACTGTTTCTATTGCACGCCATAATGTGAAAATACCTGGTATTCCTATCCCGTAGTGTGGTCCAACTAACTCTTGACTTTCGTAACCAGATACGTTTCAACATTTTGTTTAACCTCCAGATTTCACCTATTAGTTCCTTTCTTCTAGATTGTTCAATTCCCAACAATGGTCTATCTTCTGCAATTAATTCAATTGCATGAGCTTCCTCTTTAGCATTCTTAAGCTTAGTTTCAACTTTTCTAAACACTTCAGTGTTCCACAGTTTTAATTTTTGTTTCAAAGCTTTAAACTTCATGAGACATCTATAGCCAGCCCATCATTCCACATGAGCATCTGACCAGGATTGCTCCACAAAAGATACGAAGCTAGGGTGGAGAGCCCAAACATTCAGAAACCTAAACGGTCTAAGGCCCCAATCACGATCATCCTCCATCAATATTATAGGACAATGATCAGATAACAGCCTAGGTAGTCCCCATACCCTGAGATTGAAGTTTTGAAGCCACTCATGATTAAGTAGAAGTTTGTCTATCCTACTCCATTTCTCCCTTGTTTGTGAGTTGCACCAGGTAAATTTCCTCCCCAGCATTGGTAAGTTAATCATCTCTAGTTGTTCTACCATAAAATTAAAATCCCTCATTCCTCGGTCTCTTCTAGAACACCCAATCCGTTCATCAGTGTTCCTTATTTCATTGAAATCACCCCCCATGCACCATGGCCCCAAGAAATGATGCTTCAACAGAGCAAAATTTGCCCAAACTCCTTGCCTTTTGACCACACCCGTAGGACCATACACATTTGCAACCACACAGCTAAAAGTGGAAAAGATAGTACCTAACATGAGAATGAAATTTCGGTTGCCACAGCAAGCATTTACTTGAAACACCTTTGGATTCCATACACATAGTAGTCCACCAGCTCTGCCTTCCGCATCCACTGCCATATACTCAAATTGATCTTCATACCAGATAGATTTTACTATTTCAGTGGTGATTGTAGATCTCTTTGTTTCTTAAATCATCACTAAACTAATTTTCCTTTCCGCCAAACTTCTTTTGATTCTTCTCCTTTTCTCAGGTCTTCCAAGGCCTCTAACATTCCAAGATTGTATCTTCATTACACAGATTTTACACTTAAACTCCCTAAGCCTTACAACTCAATTCTCTTCACCTCTCATTCTCACCCCTTTTCCTTTGTCTGCAGCCTCCAATTCCTCTAGCTTGCTAATCACCTCCTCCTCCTTGCCATCACAATCGACCCCCAACACTTTTTCAATTTGAAGAGATGCTTCTGCCTCTGATAATCGTAAACGTCCTCTACTAGACTTGCTGGCCATGGAAAGTGAGATAGCAACTACAGCAAATTGAAAAACTGCCCCTTTTCTTAGATTCAGTGATGATTGCATTGTTGTCTTTCCCTCTTTGTGCTTCCACTGCTTCAGAATTTTTTGGCTTTTACTTACCATTCCTTTCTCCTTTAGTTTATTTTTACGTATATGGGCTGAGTTCACCCTGTTATACATTACACTAGGTTGCTTCAACCTTTTAACAGAATTAGAAGGAATGCTATTAACAACCCAATTGCTTGGTTCTGCAACCCTTTGGGCCGATCCCTCCTTACTTGTTCCTAATTGGGCCCTATTTAAATCCACCTCTATGCTAATTCCTTGTTGAGGTCCAACAGACCCACTCAGACTTTTTATAAAACCAAGGATGTAAATCTCATCATCACCTCTCCAGCTACCCTCATTGCGTACGCCACCCACCTCTGACTCCCCTTGACGTAGCTTCCTTATAAAGTCTTCCTCTCATGCGGCGCCTATCTCTGACCCTCCCATCATCATTTCTGACTCATCCACCACTGATAGTTCCTTCAGTCGAGCTTCCTCCTCCACGTCATTTGGGACATGTTCAGTCACCCTATCCCCTGCAGCCACTTCACACCCTTTATCCACCTCAGCTCTCACATGTACTTCCACGTCATCATCTTCTTTCTCCTACCTACTGTCTCTATCTGCAATAGTCTCTTCTTCTTCATCAGAGCTATAGCTTTCCTCATTATTCCTCATAAAGGATTGGCAGATGCACCTTTCTTGCACTACTTTTGAAATTATAATTTGTTCCTCACAAATCCTAACAGGGTAGATTACCCCTTGGCACTCCAATTTAATTGTATGATTAATGATGTCCATACATCTTGTCTCTATCTTAACTTTCCCACAATGGAAAGATGACAAATTAGTCGTGTCCTCATCCGTTTCAAGAACTTCACCCCACTTTCTACCTATACTACAGAAAGTGCTGTTGTTTCACAAGATCAGTGGCACACCATAACAACTTAGCCACACCTGCCTCACATAATCAAACGCCATTCCTTCTTCCTAGTCCTCAACTAATTCGCACCAGTCTGTAAGCCATTCCTTCATTAGCAATAGCTTCTCCCACTTAGCTTCTATTAACTGAAAGGAAATAACTAATTGCCTTCCACCTTCTATTCTAATTGTGACATCTCCATATCCATGTTTGTGTAATTCATCCTTTAGATCTTCAGCCGCTAGATTGGGTTTCAATCTTGCTACAGCACTCGCATACAACCAGCTATTCCCTCCCCTCTGAACCTTAATAGTACGAACTGAACTAGATTGAAACACCCTACCTCGGACCACATTGGCATACAACTTACTCCCGTGGTACCTAACGTTCTCAGATTGGTGACCTTCCTTCTCCTTCCACTGCTGTACTGGACAAATCTTCTTTTGCCTGTGACCATATTCCTTCCTAAACTCAGCCCTTTTGACTTTTAGTGCTTTGTCATCACACCAAAGTCCATGTGCTTTTTGCAGAGCCATATCCACTGCTACCGAACAATCATACCTTATAAATCCAAATCTAGAGCCTCTAGATCTTCTTCTCTTATTTGGAATGTACGCATCCAGCACGACTCCGTAGTTGGAGATCTTATACAACCCATTTGCCCTCATAGATGCTGGTATGTTGTCTACAAACACAGAGTAGATGTTTTTCTCCCTTTGGGCCCCACCGCCTCGACCGCCATGTATGTGCACCACCGGTTGCCATCCTCCAGCTCCAAGCTTACTAGATTGCCCCTCGTACTCGTTACTCGATCTCCATGGACACCCCATTTTTATGTACCTTTAACTGAATTGAAGTAGAGACTTCGCATCCACTGCTTGTTACCATACACCTTCAAGAACCTTTCAAGCATGAATCATATTAAAGCCAACATACTAAACTATGTTCAAAATCCTTCCCAAAAAACAGAAAACCATGAGAAATAATTTACACGAAACAGTGAGAAGAAAACCAAACCCTTCCAGACCATGCATGTCCACAAAACCTAGCCACACAACCTAGACCCCATCTAACTATGCTTACATCATGTGATAGAAATTCATCTCGAGTTCTAACTGCTAATGTAAGAAGCCAAACATCGTCGTAACCCCCATTACTGCATGGAGAAAACACATCACAACACTAGTCCCCAAACAAAACTGGAACCCCCATCTTGACAGCACAGGCATATATTTGCACAGATCTTTACAATCTCGATTCCAACTAACCTCAAAAGCCGCCAACCCTTTGCTTTGGAACACCCCCATATCTTCCGGGTGTGACACTGCCACTTCCATAGGCTGGAGGTACATTGCTCAAACCAGGACAATCTCTAGCCCAATGCCCTGGTTGATTGCATTTAAAGCACTCACCAGATGCACCACCACCCACACCTGCCCCAGCAGGTACATTGCTCAAACCAGGACAATCTCTAGCCCAATGCCCTGGTTGATTGCATTTAAAGCACTCACCAGATGCACCACCACCCACACCTGCCCCAGCAGGTACATTGCTCAAACCAGGACAATCTCTAGCCCAATGCCCTGGTTGATTGCATTTAAAGCACTCACCAGATGCACCACCACCCACACCTGCCCCAGCAGGTACATTGCTCAAACCAGGACAATCTCTAGCCCAATGCCCTGGTTGATTGCATTTAAAGCACTCACCAGATGCACCACCACCCACACCTGCCCCAGCAGGTACATTGCTCAAACCAGGACAATCTCTAGCCCAATGCCCTGGTTGATTGCATTTAAAGCACTCACCAGATGCACCACCACCCACACCTGCCCCAGCAGGTACATTGCTCAAACCAGGACAATCTCTAGCCCAATGCCCTGGTTGATTGCATTTAAAGCACTCACCAGATGCACCACCACCCACACCTGCCCCAGCAATAAAAAAAAAAAAAAAAAAAAAAAAAAAAAAAAAAAAAAAAAAAAAAAAAAAAAGGGGAAGAGAAATAATAATAATAATAATAATAAATACAAAAATAAAAATGTAAATGTGTGATGTGTGTTGAAAAGAGAGTAAAAGTGAGAATGAAAGGCCGCTCTCTTCTAACCCAAAAAAATAAAAATAAAAAAAGATAAAAAAATAAATAAATGAGAATGAAAGGAAGTGGGGGTAAAGTGTAAGAGAAAGAAGAGACGTTGCTTTTTAATAATTTAAGAGAAAGGAAGTGGGGTATGAGGGAAAAATTAATAATTTAGGTATTATTTGATATAAATTAAATAAGTGTATTTATTTAAATTACATCACATTTTTATTTTTTTTATATCTTTTTATTAAAAATTAAAAAATATACTTATTTAAATCATCTCAAATAACTCCTTAATGAGAACGTTTCTATTTAAGTATAAAAATTAGATATATTTTTTAAAAGGTTTGACTTTTTTTAAGTTATTATCTCAATTTGAGAGGGTATTTAGTTTTGATAGGTCCATTTTGAAATTGAATCCAATAATTTAAACTGTTCACTTTTTAAAACTTGTTGAGTAGAATATTTATGTAAAAAATAAGATCATTGTATATTGGTAACTATATATTTAAATCATATTTGTTTTAAAAAAATAGATAACAAATATAATTTTAAAAATAACTATTCATTTTTTATAATATAAATTTGATTCAAACATATAACCACCTATGTCCGATTATCTTAATTTTTTTATATGAATATTCTACTCAATGGGTTCTAAAAAGTGAACGGTTCGAATTATTAAAATGAAACCTATGATGGGCTCTATGGGTCACTCAAATTCTCTCATATTGAGACCCAAGAGAGAAGCTCAACGTTTTTTAAACTCAATAATTTAGTAATCAATCAAGATATTTAAGATAACACACTCTCTCATATTTCTTAATTATCAACCAATTATATTACTTCCACATCATTAAATCTAAAAAATAAGTTTAAAGAGTAAGATTATATGTCATTCTCCATTTAATGATATAAATTTTAGGTAAGTTGCTATTACTTTGGATACTTTGTAGGTGTTTGAGAAGTTGTTACTTTAGTAGGTTATTTTAATTTTAGGTTATTTTAGTATGCTAAAATTTTTAGATTTGAAAAGATAGTTGTATTTTTTTGTAGTTAGATGTGATGTTTGTGAGAGAAAAAGTGAAATGATTTTGGGTTTGATATAACATTTTGTCTTACTGACTATTTTAAACTATTCTTTTTCTTTTTCATTTTTTGTTTTTTTTAGATGAATTTTAGTCCAAAAAAACAAAAATAGCCTTTGCCAAATACCTTCATTTAATTCTAGTTTATTTAGGTCTTATTACTGATTTCTAAACTTCTTCATTCGTATCACCAAAACCTTAGTTCTGTTTTCAGCTGCCATGGACCAAACACGTCATGTAGCTTTTCTACCAAGTCCAAGTATGGGCCATCTCATCTCTTTCATTGAATTTGCCAAGCAACTCGTCCAGAACCACCACTTCTTTGTCACTATCCTCACCCCCTCTGTCAAACCACCCACCAAAGCCCAAAAAAAGTCCTCAAAACCATCCACCACATCTTCCTTCCACCTGTTGAATTACCCAATGACCCCCTCAGTGCTGCTTCCTAAATCTTCCTCACAGTCACTCTCTTTTTCTCCCCTCTCTCAAACACACTTTAGCTTTCTTATCCACCACTACCTGGTTGGTTTCTTTCATCCTCGATCCATTCGGCATCAATGCCATCAATGTAGCCAAGGAGTTAGACGTCTCGCCATACTTGTTCTTCCCTTCATCAACCATCTTGTTAGGTTTTTATTCTTAGCAATCCCGTTTGACAAAACTCCTTTCAGTTGTTATTGTATTAGATCTTTTATTTCATTGAAGTTATGAGTTTTAGATGCGAATCCAACCTGAATTGTACCATTGCAGAGAAGTTTGTGATGTTAATTCTTTCATGTTTGCCACTTCACTGACTATGTCGGGGATCAAGCTGCCCGGTTAGCCTGCGGGGGTCCAAGGGGCAACGCCCCTTGGTCGGTTCGAAGCAACGCCCAAGCAAGGTCGAGGGGCAGTGCCCCGAAGCAAAATGTAAAAATGCATTCGTAGTTGCTTGTCCGCTCGAGTGGCTGTTTGTGCGCTCGAGCAGAGAATATTTGGTTCTAGAAGTTTGACCTTTCAGCAAAAGTACTGGAAGTTGAGATTTTACGCTCGAGCGAACTTTCCTGCGCTTGAGCGAGGTCTACTCGAGCGGTCGTTCTTGCGTTTGAGCGGAGATCGCGGATCAGTTTTCTATAAATATGTGATTTCATCTGTTTTTAGGGTTACAGCTTCCAGATCTTCTTCTTGGATATTAGGGTTTATATTTGGAGCTTCTTTAATAGTTTCTTTGATGTTTGTTTGTGTTTAAATCTAGTTTGAAAAGTATACATCAAATGATTGTTTGTTTTATTCACAAAAGAGAGAGTTGTTCTTTGGTGGATTTGGGAGAATTTGGGCCTGAAGCTTTGGTGGATTCCAGAGTGGCTCATTGTCGTGATTCGACATCGGCGTTGTGGATTCAACGTTGGACAAGACAATTCTGAGGTGAAGGCGGGGTTGGAACAGACATATAAGGGTCGGTTCGATTCGGGCATGGATTCGCTAGGTAATTGAGAATACACTTGTGTAATTCTTTTATGTCTTCTTAGTGGATTATTTTGTGGCTTTTGTCCGTAATTTTTTTATCACAATTGGAGGCGCTCCAATTATGATTTTTCCACGTTAAATCATTGTGTTGATTTGTCTTTGATGGTTTAATTAGGATTGCTATTTACTCGTTAAAATTGATACCTAATCACAAATCAATAGCTAGGAGACTTCTAGATTTTTCAATTGGTATCAGAGCGGGTCACTGTATTTTTTTTAAAAAATAAAATATTAGAGGAAGATCTTGTTTGATTTGTGATAATGGATTCAATTCGTGAGGAAAATTCTATGGTTCGACCACCCTTACTTGATGGATCTAATTATTCTTTTTGAAAAGCTCGGATGAGATCGTTTTTAAAATCTATTGATGAAAAGTTTGGCAATCTATTATGTATGGGTGGACCAAACCGACGATTACCATTGATGGAGTGACCTTTCCCAAACCAATTGATAAGTGGGACACAATTGATTACCAAAATAGCAGTTGGAATAGTAAAGCTATCAATTCTCTCTTTTGCTCTGCCACACCTGAAGAGTTTAGTCATATTTGCAATTGTGAAGTAGCAAAAGAGGCTTGGGATATCTTACAAACTATTCATGAGGGCACTCCTTCGGTTAAACGCTCAAAACTTCAAAGGTTCACATCTAGTTTCAAAAACCTTTCAATGAAAAATAGTGAGACCTTTGATGAATTTTATGCAGAATTGAGTGACATTGTTAATTCCAGCTTCAATTTAGGTGAAAAAATACCGGAATCCAAGATTGTGGGCCAAATTTTGAGGTCCTTGCCCGATCGGTTACAACCAAAAGTTACGGCTATTGAGAAGGCTCAAGATGTTGACAACCTTAAGCTGGATCATTTGGCTGGAAATCTCTAAACTTATGAGGCACATAGGAATTTCAAAAAGAAACAAAAAGATGTTATTGCTTTTAGTAGTGCTCATAGAGTTGGAAATGATTCTAATAAGGATTGTGAGATAGATTCCAAGATTACGAATGTTTTTGTAAAATAATTTAAAAAATCTTTTCTGAAAAAGAATCTTAATCTTTTAGAATCAACTTTTACTCATAAATTCAAAGGCAAAGATCAACTCAAAATTAATTCTATAGCCAAGAAGGAGAAAGGAAAGATACAAGGGAACTCTAAAAAAGTCCAATGCTATGAATGCCAAGGATTTGGCCACTTTGCTCAAGAGTGACCCACTCGTTTAAGGAAGAAGAAAGCCCTCGCTACCACTTGGGATGATGAATAAGAATTTGATAAAGATGAAAGTGACAATGAAGATTAAGGCGAAGAGGGACATGAACAATTTCTTACTTTCATGGCAGCTTCTGAAACTGAAGGACAAATAAAGTATCCGAAAAGGCCGGTTAAGAATATCACTGATGATGAATCCTCGGGGAGTGACGATGAAGAACTTGAGTATGCTTATGAAAAGTTGTATAAGGAATCTCTAAACTTATCTAAATTGAATGACAAACTCACTATGAAACTCAAAGCATGTGAAATTGAGAATGTCAAACTAAAGGAGAAGATTTCCGAGGCTAGGAATGATGCCATCAAGATATCTAATGATCGACAAGTCCTTCGTGCAAAACTCTTGACTTGTGAGATAGAGAAGAATGAGCTACAACAAATCTATACAATATATAAAGAAAAGATTGAAACTCTCGAGATGTCTCAAGGTGCCTTAGAAGAGCTAATCATCAAGAAAGAGAAAGAGTTCAAGTGTGCTATGGTAACCATTGGTCTTTGGAACAAAGCATCAAAGACTTTGGACAATATTATTAGGTCTCAACAAATTTGTTTTGACAAGAGTGGCAGTGGTTTTGGTGGTAAGAAAGAGCAAAAACAGAGTGCATCCACATCTCATGATATAAGAACTCAAGAAAAGGGAGAACAAAATAAGGTAAGGCCAAAGAAAAGAAGGTACACTCTGTTTTTATTTGTTATCATTGTGGTATGTATGGTCATATTCGCCCCTATTGTTATGAGTTTCATGGAGAGTGTCTCATAGAGATGGAAGAAATTCCAACATCTCGTGGGATAGGAGACACTTCATTGATTGTAATGAGGTTAAGGCTCATAATAGACCTTGCTATTTTGATGTGCTTGAGACAAAACATGGAGCGAGTTTGTGTTTTCCTAGACCTAGGAATAGGAAGTTGGAAACCAAGTCGAGACGGGTTCCCATTGAAAGGGAAGGGAACCACAACGTCAAGACACCACCCAAAAACTGCAATTCTCACAACTTTGTTCATACTAGAGCACTTTGGGTGAGAAAACTTAACTTGCGTTAATTTGTTTATTCGTTTTAGTTTTTGGGTTTCTGTGTGTTTTTTCTTTTTGAGTCATTTAATGTGTGCCTGGTCATTTTCTGTCTTGCTTTGTTTTAAAAAAATAAAAATCCAAAAAGATTTTCTTAGTATGGTTTTGCAAGCTTGAAATTTTTGAGAAGTCCTTGGTGTATATTGGAATTGATGAGAATATCCATTACATGTTACTATGTGTGTGCTTTCTGTGCTCTTTACTCATTTCGGAGTGTGTGTTCTTTGATTAGTATGCCTCATTCTGTACACACTCTTAGATTAGCAAATATTTGAGTCTTCCGCCTTAGTGATCTTTTTTCTCTATGGACTTCTGGCATTGTATCTTTTGCTTTTCTAGAGAAATTGACCTATACTAGCACATCATGGATGATGTTGAGTCTGTTAACCACCTTCCATCTTTTTGCATCCCCACGGCTTTCCCCTCAATTCTTTGCAGTTAAGGCATGAGGAAAAGACTACCTCAGAGTCACCAACCAAGTTATCCTTATTGTCTCCATGCTTCTCTGATTTGGTTTCCATACTCTTAAGCATGTCAGCCGCCAATGAGTGTACAAAAGAAATGGGGGAAAAAATGTGCAAAAGAAAGAAAAGAAAAAAATGTGAAAAAGAAAGAAAGTAAAAAAAAGGTTTCATTGATTGAGGGGGAGCCTCCGTTTTTACTCAACAAATACCCCTTGATTCCTGGTAGTTTGACTTTCCTTAGTTGTGCTTAGATTCTCTTGCCTGAGGTCTAGCTATCTGATCATTCCTAGAATTTGAATCTAGTGTTTGTCGAACTCCAAGAGTCACACACACACTTTTTTCATTGGATCTATGTTTTTCACATGTGGCATCACAATCTTGCATGAGGAATCTTCTGCAGGCAGTGCACATTGTGTTTTCAAGTAATTGTGTTTCTTGGATAATCTTGTATGTTTGTAAGATATAATTCTGGTATTTCTTGCTTGCTTCACCATATTTTGTTTTTGTTTTTTTGTTCTTGTTCATTGTTTTCAGTGTTTGTGGTTGCTTTTAGTGAAGGGGAGTTTGGTTCATCTTGGATTGGTTTGGTAAGGGAGTTTGGCATTAGTTGGTTTGTGTGTTGCTATCCATTGATTGTTTATTGCTTACTTTTCTCAGGTTATTAATTTTTCTATCATCTTGTCCCTACTTGTGTGGTTTTCAATCTTGTTTTCATTGTTTGAGCTTCCTTTGTCAATTTGTGACAAAAGGGGGGAGAGATGTTGTTGGGTGTATATGTCTTAGGATTTCATGTATTCATGCCATGTGTTGGGTGCATGTGTCGTAGTTTTCATGTTTTCATGCTACATGTTCTTAAAAGCTCCAATTTATATGTATTCATATTTCCATCTCATGCATCAAGATAATCTTGTCATATGTCTATTGTTTTTTCATATACTGTTGTGGCACTAATAGTTGTTTTGGAGATTGTGGCACTAATAATTATTTTGCAGATCATGACCTTGAGAAAGAAGTTTAGTTTTGTTGGTTGTAATGGGTTGGAGTGATTAGGATTTTATTTGTTAGGTGTGTTTTGTCACAACATTGCCAAATGGGGAGATTATTAGATTTATATTCTTGACAATCCCATTTGACAAAACTCATTTCAGCTGTAATTGTATTCGATCTTTTATTTTAGTGAGTCTATGAGTTTTAGATGCGAATCCAACCCAAATTGTACCATTGCAGAGAAGTTTGTGATGTTAATTCTTTTATGTTTGCCACTTCGCTGGCTATGTCGGGGATCGAGCTGCTCGGTCAGCTTGCGCGGGTTTAGGGGGCAG